GAGCCCACGACTGCCAGACATACGTCATTTTAGTAAACGTGAAAGTTCTTGTATGTGTGTCCCCAACACAGGTAAGAACGATCCCCAAACATGAAACCTGGATCGTGGTTCCTTTGGCAGGTACCATTAATTACCCAATATACGGTTTCAATGAGTCTGGTAGGAGAAGGAACCAAGAAAACTGTCTGGAAATTTAGGAAACTCAGTTTGAGAGAACTCTCAATAATATATATAAATTTCAGCTTTATTAAAATGACGTAAGTTTATTTATAAAATAGTATAGTTTAGGGGGGTCCGGCGGGGGTTGGAAGCACACTAAGGGTCTGGCAACGAGCAGAGCAAGTTATAATACTGTTACGAGCAATATGTGAAAAAATGGAGCATCTTAAAATAACGAATTTGATATGAAATTGTATACACCGTTGTTACCCAATATACGGTTTAAATTAGTCTGGTAGGATAAGGAACCAAGAAAACTGTCTGGCAATTTAGGAAACTCAGTTTAATAGTTCTCTCAATAATATATATAAAGTTCAGCTTTATTAAAATGACGTAAGTTTATTTCTAAAATAGTATAGTATAGGGGGTCCGGCGGGGGGGAATGGAACCACACTAAGGGTCTGGCAACGAGCAGAGCAAGTTATAATACTGTTACGAGCAATATGTGAAAAAATGGAGCATCTTAAAATAACGAATTTGATATGAAATTGTATACACCGTTGTTACCCAATATACGGTTTAAATTAGTCTGGTAGGATAAGGAACCAAGAAAACTGTCTGGCAATTTAGGAAACTCAGTTTGAGAGAACTCTCAATAATATATATAAATTTCAGCTTTATTAAAATGACGTAAGTTTATTTATAAAATAGTATAGTTTAGGGGGGGTCCGGCGGGGGGTTGGAACCACACTAAGGGTCTGGCAACGAGCAGAGCAAGTTATAATACTGTTACGAGCAATATGTGAAAAAATGGAGCATCTTAAAATAACGAATTTGATATGAAATTGTATACACCTTTGTTACCTGGTACCTGCCAAAGGAACCACGATCCAGGTTTCATGTTTAGGAATCATTCTTACTTGTGTTGGGACTGTCACGTTTACTAAAATGACGTATGTCTGGCCGTCGTGGGCTCTTGCTCTATATGCACCTTCTATTGTGTCTTTCGCTTTTATATTTCACACCTGAAACTTGAACACAGCGTTCAAAAGCTAGCTATTTGAGAGTGGCAGTAGAAGTAGGAGAAACAAAACAGAAGGAGAAGCAGTCATATTAAGAACCTTCTTTTGAAATTGGTAATAATGACACACGTTCAAGCCACAGAAAATCTGACTTCAACCGCTTTATTAATAATTCCTTAAAAATGACTGGTTAAATTTTGATAAAATTAGAGAAGCATGAAAATCGAATCACCTTGAAAATAGTTCTAAGGCAACAAAATAAAGATACAGACTAAATAAACATTCTTTTTTTGAACTCAATTAAATGCTGTATACATATATTATTCCTAAAAACCAAATTAATTAATCTCACCAGCGCTTGTAAGAAGCGGATACCGCTGATGTTTAGAGTCTTTCTTCAGGCTATCAGGCGTAGGCCCGGTTACCAATTTTTTAACCACTAAGTATACCACCAAGGATACGCTTGTCATAACTAGCTGGAATTAGAATATCTTATTATTACACATTCACACAGAGATGATATGAAATATGAATTTTAAAAAACTGTAAGTACGACAAAAGTTATTTTCAGTCAAATTTCCATTTATTAGAACTAGTGGTCGCCCAATGGTCGAAATTCGACCATAATTAATTTAAATTGTAAGTTTCAAAATTATTAAGGTTCTCTATTAAAGCCTTGCTTCATATAAATTACTTTGCGACTATAAAAGCACAGAAACAAACCTCGATTCCCTGATTTGACAATTAACAATATTGTGTGCAATATTTAATTAACTGATTTAATATATTATATTTTTAAGGATTAATTTTAAAAAAAGATAGCATTCTGCACTCTCTATATAAACCATAAGTGCTTATAAATTTCTTACTCTGTCCGCGCAATTTTCGTAAAAAGATGTAAAATGATTGATACATTCGACTGTATAATTTATTACTAGCGGGATTCTGTAATAATTGGTTTTACAGATATACCATATGTGTATACTGTACGAAACGGTCAGCAGATTGGCAATGATTGTCAGACAGTCACTTCCACATTCCTAATATGACTGTAACTTACCTCAGGTGCTAAATAATGGACGGCCATTAAAGGATCTACTCCAGCATAAGAAACCAACCCCAAATTGTGCCCGATCTTTTGTATGATAGGGTACTCATCAAGCAGAGAGCCATAGGGCGCGAAGGCTGCCAAAGCACTGTGCCATGCAGCATGCGCCAACAACAGTATAACTGACACCACCACATTTAGGAGGAGGTATTTACCCCTTATTCCTGAAACATACAATAATTATTATATTTATATACCGGCAAAATACAACGACTCTTATATTTTATTTCAAATACATGTACACAAACATTTTAAATTACATATAAATAACAATGGTAATTTCTAAAATATAGCCCAGTGCAAAAAAAGATGAACGGACAGAAAAGGCGAAACCGAAGCCCTCGAGGCTTCGGTTTACTATTTTAGGATCGAACAACAAATAAGGAGTGTTATTTCGATTTTTAAAGTCAGCTGAATTGAATGTATTATGTATGTATCTCTATTCAATAAAATATCAATATCAATCCCATACTTTAATAATGGTAATAAGTATCTTATATAGTGTGATTGTCAACATCATTAGTTTTTAATCTAGTTCGCTAAATCGTACGTGTAAGTAAATGCTAATTCAGTCTACAGTTTTTAATTTTCATCCATGTGATATCGTTACATTATAAAATGTTTATGGACGAAAGAAGTTGCGCTAAAATCGACAGAACAATACAAAACTTTAGTTTATTTTTTCACAATTTTAATTACATTTGCACCACCTACAGTTTCTCTGCACAACCTGCGGTTGACTGGTAGAAAGTGCCGTAAACCGTTAAGTCCGCCACATGTACTTTGGTATTTTGTGCATTAAAGTTATATAAATAAATAAATTTTAGGATATGATAAAATCTGACAATATCGAGTCATATTTGTAGTGACCATAAGTGTAAAGTTATTTATATTATTAACCGGGTCTAAAAATAACTATAAGTGTAAAGTGTTAACGTTACAATATTATATATAAAGAAATAAGCACCAAAATTAGACCGAACTACGGTAAGTAACTTCATATTACATATTTAAAATTTATATTTTTACCTTTGTTTATGTATAACTTTAGCACTAATGGTTAATTGCAGCTGTTGCCACTTTACTTGAAAATTTCATAGAGATTACTGAGCGTGTATCGATGCTTCCACAGTAAAGCGTGGAACAGCTAAACACAGTGTCGATAGATGCATTACATTACACGCATACGATGTTAATGTACTTAAGTTCCTATCTCATGTTCGTATACAAGGAGGCGCTAACCGTGATAACATTTACACTTGTTGACCTAAATAATCTTTTCACATTGCTATATAAACACTCGATATTTTCGGTTTAGTGCAGCATACCAGTCACACAAAATTTCTTAAAATAGATTCATTGGTGTGCTATTAAAATTCAAAATAGAACAGTGGCTTACCGCTAAACGTTTGAGAGTCTGGAACCTGGGGTAACGGTGCTAATAAATACAATAGCAGATATATTAAGGAGAGACCGAACGGACGTAGTGCTATACCTGAAAAAAAAAACGCTTCATTAGTTATAGATAACATAGTCAGGTTACAGATTTACTTTATCTAATTATTGAAAGAATTTAGAGAGATTTATATTTGTTCATTTCTACTATTTATAGCATACGAACCTTATACTTTGTTCGTTAATGTTTACAATAAAATAAGTTTACGGCTAATAAGCATCAAGGTTAATGACTTTCTTACAGCTGTAAATTACAGCGACTGAACACTGTAAAATTTTTAGCCTATGGTAACATTAGTACATAACAAGTTCTTATATTTTGCGTATCGTATAGGTACTATATATTTAACATTCATATGTAAATATTGTCAAATAATTATTTCTTATCTACAGCACCGTACCGTATTATCCGTATGCGTATACGTATGATTTGCCAATTTAATACATACACTATGATTCAAATACGTAGTATATATCGATTTAACAGCGCGTTTAACATCGAGAATAATAAGAAATAAGCAGAAAGAAACGAATTTACAGTACCGAATTTATTAGGTTGTTTGACATTAATGGTTTTAATGGAATTCAGTGTAATTAAATATATATATTCAATGCTAAAACGCCACCAAATATCATTGATAAAGTTCCCAAATAATACTCTTATATATCTTCTATGAAATCAGTAGCAGCAATCAGTTACATTTTGTTGTAACAGGCTAATCAGATATGTATTTTATATTCTAAATTTGTATTTAAATTTATAGTTCTTTTATATTACTTTCTTTTTTTTTGATACTTCAATTCCTTCATTCTATTCCTAATTGTCAGTAGTCTATATTAATATATATTTTTCTCCGTTTTACCTAGTCTTTTTTCTTATTACTACAACATATTTTGATTCTGAAGTTTAGTTATAATATATTATAAACATAAATAAAACATGAAACCATACATTTACATTTTATATAATGGTAATTTAATTTTATATTATTAATTTAGCTTGAAAGAAAAAGTCAAACACAATAGCCGAAATTGATTAGACTTATTCATGGTTTTTCTATGAACAAATGACTCACATAGTATGTAATTCCATAACAAAACATAGTCACATATATTTATCCTAACAATTCGAGATGCAGTCTCGGGCAAGATGAATGAGAAGAAATTTGAACAGGCAAGTTTCTTGCACAGTGAATGCTGTCAAGTTCGATTCATAAGGAGATGCGGCAGGTTAGGTTAGAAATGGTAAACAAATAACGAACTCTATCTAAGACAAGAATCAAAAAGTAAATCGGATTGATAGTAGGTAAACGTACTCTTTACGGTAATAAGAAAACCTTTAAAGTAATAATAAATAATGGTAGACCTCATTATTTTTTTGTTCTTCATAGATATTGTTAATCCAATTAAAATTTGACATTCTAGTGCCGATAGGTTAATTTGAAAATAAAATGATAAGGTTGGTAAGTATAAAAGCCAATGTCAAATCCATTTACGTTCGCAAAGTTTATCTATAGATACAAATAAAATTGGAGAGTCTGTTTGTAATATTGAAATAACCGTTTCTTACTACATGCATATGAATAAATACGGTAAATACACCAAAATAACATTTTTTACAATTTTTGTCTGTCTGTCTGTTTGTTCCGGCTAATCTCTGAAATGGCGGGACCGATTTTGACGGGACTTTTTTTGGCAGGTAGCTGATGTAATAAGGAGTAACTTAGGCTACTTTTATTTTAGAAAAATAAAGTTAAATTCCACGCGGACAAAGTCGCGTGTACAGCTAGTATACTTATTATAATAGCAAAAACAATTAAACAGATCCATTTATATTTATTTACTGGCGTCTATTGTTGTTCATAATATGTAATATTATGTCATCTTTATTCATAATGACAAAATTAATAGCTTAAGCTTAATATTTTTAAAAATGTAGTACTCGTTGGCTTTCTTATGTATGTAGGTAACTCCCCTAAACACGTACGTATTTGTATATTCGTGCGAAATAAGTAATATTAGGTGGCTACGGCTAACCCAAATGTCACAGTAACATTTAGATTTTGTTCCAGTTCGTTTTATATTGTGCCCCATTTCTCGTTTCATCGTACCTCGTAAAGACCCATTTATATTTTTATGCAGAAACCAACAACAATAAATGGGTAGGTATGTATCTTCTTAGATTTCCTATCTATTGAAAATAAATATTTTTAATGTACTACTTCAAAAAGAAAAAGGGTCTTAATTTTACTCATTTTAGGCATGAACATTACGACTATCTACTTATGTACAGCTTTCGATGAGTATTATCAAATTAAAGTGAATATTGTCTAAAACTAATAAACAATTAATAACATAACAAAATAGCTATAAAAGAGAACATAATTATCACTTTATTTCATTAAGGTTACTGTAGTAATATCGCCATAACAATGTAACTGTGTACTTATATTCGATGGTTTAATATTTATCTCCTACTTTTCAGGTCATTACATCAAAATACCTATCAATGGTACTATACCTACATATAGTGTGCTTTATTCACACACTATTGGCTAGCCTCAACTTCGCTCAAGTGGTCAAGGATATCACAGGAAAATTTATTATACAATATTGAAATAGAATTAACTGAAATCAAGCTCGTCGGGGGTGATTCCGATTATTATTACAAATTTTAAAAGTCTCAGAAAACGTAACCAAAAGCATTGCTAAATTTCCACAAGATGATACTGCATTTTGCCCACGGAGTTCGTTACTGCTTGATCAATAAATGATTTATGATATAGTATCTGTCAGCGGTCTACACTGGCGGGTCACCAGCGGAGGATGACAGGGTAATGTTGCAGTTAGTTCAGTTGGCCTATCATCATATTTACCAGGAGTTAACCGCAATGGTTTCCAGAGGAGACTGTACAGATCGACCTGACAGGGTATATTACTAACAAACTAGTCCCCATTACTAACATACCCGTCCACCTTATAGTAGTAATTTTGGGCTAGTTAGTGAAACAGTGTAAGTTAAACAGTAAAGGACCCCATGACCAAGGTTAGCGATCTGAACAATGTTGCAGGGAGACAATGAATTACGACAAGAACTGCACTCTATAGTCTAATAGGTATGATCCGACCTATGATTAGAGGACGTTAATGTTGTGATAATGAGGATGATAATCAACTGGGTTATTAACCTAGGACAACCTTCAACCTCAGGTCTTGACATCATAAAAAGCTGTTAACTTACATATGCGTAGGTATCTGTAATGTTTACAAACGTGTCTTTATTCAGTTGCGATGAATAACGACACAGTAATGTAATGTTTACTTATTATTATTACTTAGTTTTGTCGTAATTGCATATACCTTTCGTTTATGTTCTTGGCCACTTGACTTGATTGAATTTAAAAATAGTGAACTCTGGATCACAAGATTAACGAAAACAAAAAGTACTAAACAAAAATATTTTTTACTTGAAATCAATATATTTAAGACGTGCGATTAACTGATAATTGTAATTTTCAACAACTTTCATAATAAAAGTTTAAATTTGTCGAAGACTATTACTCTAACCCCGGCGAACCATTGGTCTTCAACATACCACTAATCGAGTATCACTATTGTAGAGCCAAATTTTGATTGGATGATCAAGATACAGACGACATTTTTGGGCAGGAATTAGTATATCATCAATGAATAGATGCAAAATTAAGGCTACTTGCCTTAATTTTACAGAAGATCCAGAAGTGATATTAAAAAATAACATATAAATATCGGTAATGAATATTCCTTTTAAAAATTCCTATATAGGAACACGCCACAACACTATTTAAGACTCGTAAAAATGTGATAACGTAACCTACGTTACCGTTTACCTACCACCGTTACCTATATTTCAAATTTTTCTCTGAAATAAAAATTCAGCCTATATGTAAACCTATGTGTTCTACCTATAAGTCTTCTATATCTATATGTATATCCCAATATATAAAATATCTATACATACATTTCGTTTACATTGAGAGCTGCATGTTGTTTTTATGTTTCTTATTAATTTTTCTACTTAGGAATAGTCATAAGTTTATTATACCTAGACTAAATGATGACTAACAGCTATGACTATGGTTCTAATTTGTACCTCTTGTTCTATATACTCTTTGTTTTCTTAGTTTAATAATTTATGACATTAGACTTCTGTTAGATTCCATGAATCTAGTGTCTGTAATTTCATTCCAGATATTAGATTTATGGAATCCATCGATCACATATCGGGAACAGACGTGTAGGTCAGTAATTTCCTTCTAACTCATATCATATTTATTTCTAATAGATTAAACAAGTCGATTCTAATGTAAATAAGATTGACTTTTTATATATTTTTGAGACACACATGGATGGAAAGAAGTGAAATAGTCAACAATATAATATCAATACAGTAATACGTGAAGCAAAAACTAACTACTGCTTTTTATTTTCGCGTTTATAATATTATTAAGATATGTTTAAAGATGGTAATGGATTAACGAAGTCTAAATGACTATGTGATAAACAAGAAATTTCTTAATCTAAAATAATATCCGCACTCAATACGTAAGTTTAGTTTAATGAATTCCATAACAAGTCACATTACACAGAATATTTCAGTCACAGTAAATATATAATATGTTTACTGTGACTATGTACTATTCTCTTATCTGTGCTACGACTGATGTTGGGACACAGAATAAAAGTATTGAAGGCAAAAGAATAGTAACAAACTTTAGATCATTACTTATTATCTTATCTGAACTATTATCTTATCTGTGCTTGTACATTGGGAAGCTATCGAGTCGCTTGAAATGAAAGTGCGTTTAGCACCCGCTTAGTGACATATTGTTCGTAATCGTAACGATATAAACTCGTTTTGTTTGGAGCAGAATGATTCAATGTTCAGCGACAGTGAATTAAGAAGCAAAAAAAGCACGCGTTTTCTTACCCGCACAACTATTCTGATTGTAAACCGAATGTAATAAAACAAACACTTTATTATAGTAATGCAGCTTAACA